TCGCTTGGATGGATACATGTTGATCTATTTCTCTTTGACTTTCTACTTCACGATCGTCCCGGTCATGAGACCCGGCTGGGGCTTAGTATTTTTCCTAGCTTGTAATGAATGGAAGGCCGAAGAATGATTTAGTAAATTATTGTGGTAGTCACGATGACATATGGCAAGAGGTAACCGGGTGCAAGTGCAATTTATTACATATTTTATTTCAGACGATATCCATATTATTTATAAGGACCAAAAAAATGATTGCATCATATATAGACAATTGCTGGGTAAAGTAAGGAATCATGAATAGACTACCAACCTCTTTTATAAGCAGTACATATAAATACTAGAGGGGATCTATGGAGCATATAGAGCAAATCAAATATATGGTAGAAACTACGAAGAAACGGAACATCGGAATATCTGGCAGTCCATGGAAGAAACACAAGAAGATAGATTATGCCTTTAACTTAAATGATGTAGCAAAACAAAAGACTTTCTCTATATCTTTCTGAATGCTTGGCTTTTCTTCAGGTGATGTCGTCATTCAGGTGTTCAGAGTACTGATAGAACTCTCCTGTTAGAAACATGGCGAGGACAAACCCCAACGATTTCAGAAGCACTATAAAGGGAAGTGTTGAGCATAAAGAAGTAATCTACTGCAGTGGTTATGCTTTTTTGTTGTGGGTGATATGGTTTTCTTCTTAGGAACCCGCTGTAGTGTAATGCCATGAGAATGCGTGTAAAAATATACTCTTTATATTGCATCATTGGCTTAGTGCTGACTTTTTGTTTTTTTTCATCGGATTTAGCAAAAGCTCGATGATGATGATTGCTATGCATCCACCAAAATAACGAAAAATTTCATTGATTCAGTAGCTGATGTTGTGGCAAGAATAATTACTTTTCACATTTCTTTCATATAGTTAAGTTTGTAATGCATGACCAAGTGCTGCTCCATTTACCGTCTGCCATCCTTATGATGTTGTAGAATTACCATGAAGGAAGGGGGCGGCCAAGGTGTCTCTCAGTGAGCATTGGCTCGCCGATCCTCTTGTCCTCTTACCCAAAGCGGCCAACTGATTTGACTCTTGTGGACCGCTTCAAAGTTTCCTCTGGAAAAGCAGTTCTGCAGAACTTCTGGCCCAGGAATCAGGAAGTGCGATGCAGACCGAATTAGAAACGAGATCTTGCAGTTGTAATATAGGGGGTTGTGTCAGAGGCCTTGGGAGAAGTGTTGTCTGCATAGGCTTGGCCTGGTTACAGTGGTCAGAACACTAGGACAACCCGAGAAATATAAAATACACCATTTAAATGACCAGTATCTGATTTGAGTATGTGAAATTAAGTAGAAGTTAAGTGTTCCACTGAAAATAGAAACGAGATACTTTATGCTTATTTAAAGATATTTCTATTATTCTACCAAATTCCATCTAAGGTAGTCTATTTAGCTGACTCAATCCTTATAGCTGCCTGTATGGTATTTAGTACTTGATTTCCTAACTAATTGAAATCCTTGTTAGCACTCTTCTCATGTGAGGCACTCCACAAGAAACTCCACAAGAAATTCCTAGGTGCACCGAGAAGGACTAGTTCTTCTTTGTTTCTGAACATGGTGGTCCTTCGGGTAGAGAGTCCTAAGATTTCATTAATGCAACATCAGGTTCGAAATTGCTTCATGCACGATTCTCCTGGCCGACGCATGCACGACACAGAAATTCAACGGCTGGTGCCTGATGTATGCACGCATGTGTGGCCGGATTTTAAACATCGTCTATGAGTCGTCCATTTTTGTCGTGTGTATAGCATAGCTCCATCAGGTTATGTCTCCTGTTATTATGCAAAATACAATGTTGTGTATGTTGTCATAGAAGCCAATTTGGATATGTAAATCTTGCTTTTTCCTGAGTATATACGAGATTTCATTGATTATGGACTAATATATGGCTATGTTTGCACAACTATAATATGTTGCATGTACCCATATATTTACAAAAACCCGTATCATTTAATGTATAAATAGACGGGCGCGGCAACGCGCGCCATCAATGATCTAGTCTTCATGGTATCAGACCCCTCCACCACTGCCGCCGCGGCCCCTATTTACCGCGGCTGAATTCCTCGCCGCCCGAGCTCCTCATCTTCCTCCTCTAACCCGAGCTCCATTGCCCACCAATACAATCTCCAACCACCTCAAATTTCCCTAGCCGATACAATCTGCCCATGTCTCACAGTTTATCCCAGTCTCTCTTGATTTAGCTGCCCACAACTACTATCATTGGCGACATCTCGTCCACATCTAGCTTGGCCGATGCGGCCTGCGCCAGCACATCCATCCATCCTCTACTCCGCAGCCCGTCGATCCTCGCTAGATGAAGGATGACCTTACGATCATCCAATGGATCTACACTCGGATCTCCACTGAGCTCTTCAACCTTGTCTCCGACGACGACGCCACCACCGCCGAGCTTTGAGCCCCTCTTCAACAACTGTTCTTGGACAACTCCGATGCGCATATCAACGCGCTTCACACTGAGCTTCGCACCATCACCCAAGGGGACTCTCCGGTCACTGTTTTCTGTCAACGGATCAAGTCGATCGGCGATGAACTCCGGCAGCTTGGCGATCACGTTGACGATTGTGCCCTCATCAGGCATCAACGCCCTCCTCGTCGGCCTCGATGAACATTTTGAGAAGCAGGTGGCCTTCATCCCCATGCTGTGGCCCTACCCTTGCTTCGTCGAAGTTCGCTCCCTTCTGCAGCTCGAGGCTCAGAACCAAGCTCGCAAAGCCACTCGTCCACCTCAAGTTTTTCACACCACCGCCAGGCCTCCTGCACCGGCTCCGTCTGCTGCACCACCGGCGCCTTCCCAGCCTCCTCCAGGTTGGCACCCGAGCCCTAACTACCGCGGGAAGCATCCAGGTTGTCAGCGTTTGAGCAAATGTCAGGTCTTAAAATTAACTTCCATAAAAGCGAAGTGTTCTGCTTTGGAGAAGCCGTCGAGGTAGCGGCCGATTATGCGGACCTATTTGGTTGCGCACTTGGCCAATTCCCGATCAAATATCTGGGAATACCAATTCATTATCGACGTCTCACCATTGCGGAGTGGAAGCATGTAGAGGAGCGGCTAGAGAAACGGTTGAGCAGTTGGAAAGGCAAGTTGCTCTCAGTTGGAGGACGACTGGTTTTGATAAACTCTGTCCTCACAAATATGGTTCTCTATATGCTTTCTTTCTTCCAACTCCCAAAAGGGGTCTTGCAAAGATTGGACTATTTTATGTCCAGATTCTTTTGGCAAGGAGATGGTGAAAAGAAAAAATACTGGCTGACCAAATGGAGCGTGGTTTGTAGGCCCAAAGACCAAGGTGGCCTTGGAATTCATGACCTGCAGGTCAAGAATGAGGCCCTACTTAGTATATGGTTGTTCAAACTTCTTACCGAGGATGGTGTTTGGCAAACCATGCTGCGCAACAAGTATCTAGGCCAAAAGGCGGTGTCTCAGGCATATTGGAAACCTGGCGACTCACACTTTTGGGCTGGCCTAATGGCGGCAAAGAAACATCTCTTTCGCTTTGGGTCTTTCGCGATAAAGGACGGGTCGAAGATTTGTTTCTGGGAAGACATCTGGCTAGGCAATGCCAGTCTCCGAGAATAATATCCAGCCTTGTACAACATTGCTCGCGATAAGAACAATACTATTGCGCAGGTGCTCAGCTCATCCCCGCCGAATATTTCGTTCAGGCGGGATTTGGTTGGCGCCCGACTTATGTCATGGCATAATCTCTTATCCCGTCTGGATCTGATTAACCTGACGCAAGGCCGTGATGTGTTTCGCTGGAACCTTACTACATCGGGGTCTTTCACGGTAGACTCTATGTATCGTGCGCTCACGCATTCTGAGGTACCGGAGAGCAATACCAAAAAAATCTGGAAGGCAAAGATTCCACTAAAAGTTAAAATATTCATGTGGTATTTTCGTAGAGGTGTTGTGCTAACCAAAGACAACCTTGCACGACGCAACTGGCCAGGAAGTAAGAAGTGTTGTTTTTGTACTCATAACGAGACAATCAAACACCTCTTTTTTTAATGCAAGTTTGCGCGTTCTACGTGGTCAGTCATCTAAATAGCGTCAAATTTGTATCCGCCCACAAGTGTTGCCAATATTTTTGGTCATTGGCTGGATGGTATTTCAAATAGGTTCAAAACGCTAATAAGGATGGGAGCGTACGCCTTACTATGGTCGCTTTGGCTATGTAGAAACGATTTGGTTTTTAATGACAAAAATGCTTCTCCTTTGCAGGTTATTTTCCGTTGTACGCACTCGCTTCGTATGTGGTCTATGCTACAACGTGCGGAGTACCAACCGCTATTCAAGGCGGTGTGTACGCGATTGGAGCAGGTGGCTATGGAGTTTTTTACCCAACATGGATGGCAGCATAATCTCCGCATCGGTCCACCAACCGTTTTGACATAGGCATAGTGTCGGTCTATAGGACTCTACTCATGCCGAATTGTCATTTTTTTTCTTGTCAGGTTTTTGATGTTTGGCTGTGTGCATCCTAATTATGCAGAGGCCGGGTGATACTCTAAATGCTTTGTATCGCTTGATGCTACATTTTAAGATAATAAAAGTGTCCTTTATCAAAAAAAAAAAAACACCATCACCATTGCCTGCGTCGGCCTCTGCTTCACAAACATGGCACCCGCAACAAGACCCCTGGACGACCGGTCTCGTTCAGGCATGGCCCATGCCTTGATCTGCCCATTGAGGCCTCAATCAATACAACTATTATTTCTCCAATCTTCAAAACGAGCAACATGACAGGAATCTCGTTACGTCCATTACTAAGAGCATCTCCAATACATGATGTAGCATTCCTCAAGGCCGACGCTCGGGTTCCCCCTCGCCACGGCGCTCCTGCTCCTCGTCATCTTTTCCCTCAGCGGCATCTTCTCCTGCTGCTACCACTGGGACAGGCTCCGCTCCCTCCTCTGGTCTCGGCAGCCCGGCATGCTCCAGGACGGCCCGCACACCGTCATCTCCATTGGATCTGCGCCGAGCAAGGCAGCTTCCGAACACAAGGTAGTAGCAACGACCGACCTCTCTCTGTTTTTTTAACCGAAACGATCTCTCTGTTGTCCAACTCACTTTGAGTTTTGACACCGTTCCGGCATACTGTCGTCTATCTATTGTGAACTTCAGCTGATGATTAGTGGCCCTGTGCCTTGTTGTTTGCAGAGCGAGAAAGCGGGGAAGGAGTGCGGGTTGCCCGTGATCATGCCCGGGGATAACATCGCCAAGTTCTACGCCAGGCCATGCCCGCACGAGGCCTGTTTACCTGCAGCAGCAGGAGAGAAGGGCCAAGTCGAGGTGCAAGTCAGATGTGCAGTTTCGTGAGACCGTCAGTATCTGTATGTGAAGTCGTAGTTAGGTGCCAGTGACTTATGATTGATAGATGGATTGTATATACGCAAGCGACTTATGATTTCTGGATTGATTGTGTACAAGCATGCATTTTGACAGTTTTTCGGAAAAAGGAAAAGAAAAACAAAACCTTTCATGTGCAGATATGCAACCCGAATGTTTTTTTTTTAGAAAAGGAGGATGACCCCCGGCCTCTGCATCTGGAAGATGCATACGGCCACTTTATTGATTATTCTCGAGGACCTTACAAAGTATTACAACAATATGCCTAAATCCGCCATCTTGGCAACATATGCCACTACTCCTATCCAAATGATGCAGGGGTGCTACCTGGGCCACATACCCAGACTACTCACCTAATCCTATCATCAAAAGCCAGAAGCCCCAGTCGAGCCACATACCGGGTCTGGGGCATAAACTGGTCTGACGCACTCACATGTGTCGTCGCCGCCATCTTCCACAGGTCCGTCTTCAGAGCAGATATTGAGGCTTCTACCTTGTCAGGTCACTCCGTCATCAACGCCACCTTGACGCCGGACAACTACCTCCACCTACACGAGTCCATCACCGCGCATCGGGCGCCGAGTCTCCACTGCACCACGCCGCCGAGATCCGCCGTCATCAATGTGAAGGATGAAGCACCGCTTCACCAAAAAGGCTCCCGCTGGTCCCTCGATCCCGTGTACTCCTCCAAGAATGACGCCCCCAAGGAGGAAACGACACCAACGCGCCGCCGTCATCCGATCAACTGATCTAGGGTTTCCCCGGGAGGTAGCAGATAGAGGTCTAGAGCTTCTCCATGGCGGTGCCTTCAAGAAGGTAATGACACAACAGGGTGCCACCAACGCCGGTCATGGCATCAAGCCGAGCACAAGGTTTTCACCCGGATCCGCTCGAAGAACCTTCATCCGTAATGTGTGCACGGTCGCCGCCGATCTGAGCCGCCGCACAACAAGCAGGCCGCACCGGCCAGATCAGATCTGTCCGGAGGGCACAACCCGCATGGTGTCGACCCAACCACCAGGCCCTCCATGCCGCCACCGCCGATCCGAGGTCAGATGGTGTGTCGCCGCAGACCCGGCCGCCGCCGCCGAACGCCGCCATGCAGCCCGAGGCAGAGCCGGCTACCACACCCCACCATCGCCGCCCTTGGCCGAGGTAGCTGCCGCGCCGCCAGGCCAGATCGGCCCTTGGCCGAGGCAGCCGCCGCGCCACCGCCGGAAGGCGGGCCTGCCGCGCCACCCATGCCGCAGGGCGCCGCACCACCCCCACGGCACAGGCAAGAGGGAGGACCCCCGCCACCGCCGTCAGCCCCGGGCCATCGCCGGCGGCGTCCCTCGGCGGCAGCGGAGGGAGGGGAGGAAGGGAGGGAAGGGGACCCCCGGCGGCTAGGGATCGAGATCCCGCCCGAGTCGCCCGAGAGGGGGCGACGCGGGGGGCGGGGGGCGGGGGGCCTTCATGCAACCCGAATGGGTCAACAAGCTAGCTGAATATTTGTTGAATGCTATGAAATTTGGGATCTTTCTGCTAAGGGGGATGGATACATATTGGTCGGTTCATTTGTCATTCCAGGAAAGCCAAAAATAGTTCACAGTAGTTTCTTTTTGAAATTATCAGGGAATTTGTTGGCGTCTGTTCTTTCGGCGAGGTTTTTGAAACGGGAAAAAAGAGAGGAAATTAGATTGCTGCTGAACCAAATGGGATCCTTGTCCTGTGGTGCCCCACCGAACGTAGTACATACGTCGTCATGGCCACTGAAGAACAAAAGTACAGCTGCATATCTATATGCACGATGGAATTGGATGACATGGACCTAACATTCATATTTCCTACCGGCTGGGGTTGTGATGACTGATGAGTGCATGATTAATTAGGTCCTTATGCACGGATACAACAAGGGCGCGTTTTGTTGATCGCACAACCTCCATCCAGGCTCTGGGTTAACTATTTTGGACCGTATGGTTAGCTGCATGTTCGGCTAAGCCTGCATCATATGCTTCTCAAAGTACCCCACAGTCTGGTTGTAAAGGAACGACCGAATCCACCGTTTCCATTGAGCTAGTAACAAGCGAGCACAAAAAGGGCATTGCGACTGCACGAGCATGAAATCCCCACACCGCTCGCTCTCCCTTTTCTCCCCTGTCACTCTTCTCTCACCTTCGGTGACACCACCGCAAACACCTCACAATGTGTGCTATGTTCTCACTGTCAGTCTTTCTACTTCTTTTTCTCTACAGTTTTAATGGTTTTTTTTACTGTTTCTCCATTCTCCCTTTTTCTGTTCATTTTTTTCTTACTTCTATTTCTCATTTTTCTTCTCGTTTTTTCTTCATTTGATAAATACACGTTCAACATAATTTTGAATACATGTTAATTATTATTTAGACATACATCAATTTTTTTTTCAAATACATGTTGAACCTTTTCCGAATACACGTTGAATATTTATGAAATGCATGTTGAACATTTTCTAGATACAAGGAGAACATCTTTTAAACATGTTGAGCATTTCTAAAATACATGTCAAACATCTTTTGAATGCATGGTAAACATTTTTTAAACATGTTATACATTCTTAAATAGACGATGAATATTTTTTGAAGTATGTGATGATCATTTTGTAAACACATGATCAACATTTTTCCAAAAATACATGGTGAACATTTTAACAAATACATGGCAATTTTTTTGATACACGATGAATATTTTTTAACATACGACGAACCTTTTGTAAATCCACAATGAACACTTTTTATAAATCCATGAACACTTTCTTTAAATACATGATAAACGTTTTTTAATTACACAATGAACCTTTTTCAAACACATGATAAACATTAAAAAATAATTTTAGAAATTATAGGAACATTTTTATGAAATGCTCCGAATCTATTTGTTAGAACATTTAGAAAAATAAAAAGCTATTTCTTTTGAAGAAAAAATAGAAGAGAAAAATACAGTACGTAACATGCGTGCATACACTTGGTTTTCTTAGACAACTTTCGCACGCTTGGTGTGTGGCAAACTCGCGCGATCCATCCAGTGCTGGCCCAACCCATTTACCGGGGACGCTGAGGCGATGTTAGCTTCTGCCTCGCAAACAACCATGACATAGATAACCTTTTTGAAGGTGTGTGTGTGGGGGGGGGGGGGGATTCAACCATCTCGGAGGAACCAATGACCTGAGATAAACCTTAAAAACCATGATTAATGATTAGTTCCACTAACCACATTGTCATCACATAAAAGTACTATTTGGGGATAAATGAAATTTCAAACTCTTCTATTTACTTAAGAAAATACACGATCATAAACCCTAGAAACTACTCCCAACTTTAGAGCTTTGTCCATAGATTTAAGACAAAACTAAAATATACATTAATTAACAAATAAATATACTTGTATTTCACCCATGTGACACAAATTAATCAATGAAGACATACAGTCTTGCCATCTTCAAATTTGTTCATGATGTATAAGAATTAAACTAAATAACTACATATATAAAAAAATGGAAATGAACACATGCATATATTTACATTTAATCCAAATGACACATATTAATATAGGAATACATCAAATCTTGTCATCTTTTATTCTTCTATGATCTAGAATAATTTAGCTTCACTAACAACATATATCCTTGCAATTGAGGCCAAGTGAATTTTCCAAGGTTGACATTAAATTACATAAGCTAAAATTGTACCATAATACTATTTGGCATTTTGTGTCTAATTTTGCTAAGTGTAGTAGGAAATTGTATATATTATCGATTTTCTTACATGTGTAACATGAGACATGTTACGGAGAACACTTAATAGCAAAGTAGATGTGAAAAATTAGGTTTTGGGTTTTATGGGATGTAATCTGTATTTTTTTCATAATTATCCTGTTATTATTGATGTGGAGCAGACCCACAAGAGGTGCATGCTCAAGTTAAGACAAACGGTCGCTTAAGTACAATGCACATTGGGGACGAATAAATATGATGCACATAGTAGGGTATATTAAGGGGGTTGTAACTAATTAATGTTTGTATTAGCGTATTGGTTATGTTGCATTCTTTGTTTTTTTAGGTTGGACATATTCAATCTTTTTATATAATAATTGCTATAGTTGGGATACTAATTGTGCTGCCTTATCAACTTATCGGTGAATGTTGTGTTTTTTTGGATTTATATTATATATTGGACATGTTCAATACCGTGAACCTTAATCTAGTTGTTGGTTAGTTGCCTTATGTGACTAAACAATCGATCGTGGATTGATGAAGTAATCGTATGCGACTTAATATTTTTTACTGGCCTCCATTCTAAACGTTTTGGTAATCACTCATCTCTCGACCATGGCATTCTTTTGCCCACTCGTCTCTCAAGCATATTCACATCCTTGCATCAAAATTTTCTGTACTTACAAACCGAGCCGCGCACTGACCTTGTCGATCGAAACACGATCCTTTTCTGAAATAGTAAAGCAGCAGTACATATTGTCCTTGATTAATTCGCTCTTCTTGCACTATGTCCAAGTTTGATTCATGGATGTAATACTCCTATTTGGCCACCGTTTCAGGCTTAAGATGGCCGGCAAGATGCTTGGTTTTTAATTAACCTGAATAAATTCTGACGTATATGGAACTGGACCAGTAGTTAAGTGGCCACATTTCCAGGCTTAAAACGTACAAGTGGCCGGCAAGATGCTTGGTTTTACTAACCTGAATATGTTACTGCTAATAAGGTTCTTTTTTTTTCGGGTGTACTGCTACTCCCTCCGTCCGGGTTTATTAGGCCCCTCGACCAAAACTCAGGTACCAAGGCTATTAGTTGTAACCGTGCGAGATTTTCTAGGAGTGCAACTGCCAACGAGCGTCGGCCAGCTTAGCACGCGTGACTCTCTACGAGAGCCCAGTTGTTGCATGCAACGCATCAGATTGGGCCTTTGCCGCAGGATTAATAGGGTATTTATTACGCAGCACTGGTTACTAGACAAAAGCTTGCATGCAGCTTCCTTTTCTCGCATGCAGCAGAGGTTTAGCCAATGGGAATCGATTTTCCTTAATTAGTGGGACGGTAACCGAAGAGAAGGGGCCTAATAAAAACGGACATGCATGTGGCGCTAGCAGGCCCAATAAACATGGTGACAAAATCGAGTTAATGAAGTAATAAGGTTCGAAAGCATACATTATTTTAACTAATCCGTCGCTTTATGCACATGCTAGTTCACTACACCCCATAAAATCATTGAACCAAAGCTTGCGACTAGCTGGCTACTAGCACCCACCCAGTTACCCACCAACAGCTAGCTAGGTCCTCTTCATGTGCTTCTTTTCACCACAAACACACACAAATGAGAGAGAAACGTTTCGTAGTTGTTCAACAATTGAAACTTCATAGTGTCTTAAAAGTAAAAATAAAATAAAACGTTTTGGTTTATTTTTTCTACAGGAGAAAAAAATGCTACTCCCTCTTATCCATATTAATTGACGCTGATCTAGTACAATGTTGTACTAGCTTTGTACTAGACCAGCATCATTTAATATGGATCAATTTGGACCGATAGCTGTGCGGGAAATCTTGCTGGAGTGCGATATTCCGAGTAGTTCTAGTGATGCTGATGTACAATTGTCCAGTCAAGGTGCATTGTTGAAGGCATCTATTTCTGCTTTGGTTTTGTTAACGTGAGTTAATTATACGTCATACCGAGGCTCTCTCCATGTTTTCGTCTGACACGAGCTGTTCTTAATTCGCTTGCACCAAACACTAGGCGGCCTCTTTCGATGCAGATGCACATGCTAGCGCGTGATCATTCATGTGCCTTCCATCGTTAGCTGAGCCAAACAAATCTCAAGCTTGCTCATCTTCATATTCCTGATAATTAGCTACCCGCACTTGTCCGAGCTATTCTCTCCACAACTCCAGAGTCCAAATCAGACAAACAACACCCACGAGGGATTGGTGCAGTGCAGCTACAAGGAGTAGAGAGATCAATGGAGGCCGTGAGTGCCTCCCACGGCGCATTTGGTCCCCTGCTGTGGAAGCTCACCACCTTGCTTGCCGATGAGTGTGCTCGGCTGAAAGGGGTCCGCCGTGAGATCCGTTCCCTTAGGTCAGAGCTCGCCAGCATGCATGCTGCACTGAAGGAGTACATGAAGCTAGAAGACCCAAATGACCAAGTGAAGACATGGATATCGCTGGTCAGGGAGTTAGCCTATGATACCGAGGATGTCTTTGACAAGTTCATCCACCAGCTTGGCAGCAGAAGCCTTCATGGTGGCTTCAAGGAGTTCTTCCGCAAGACTGCTCGCCGTCTGAAGACACTTGGCTCTCGTCGCGGAATCGCTGACCAAATTGACGACCTGAAAGATCGCATCAAGCAAGTGAAAGAGCTCAAGGATAGTTACAAGTTGAATGATGTTCCTTCGAGCACCACTAGCCATACGACTGTGGATCCTCGGCTGCATGCGGTATTTGCTGAGGGGGCACACCTTGTGGGCGTGGATGGTCCAAGGGATGATCTTGCCAAGTGGATGCTGGAAGAAGGAAACAACACATCCAAACCTTGCAAGGTGTTGTCTATTGTTGGTTTTGGTGGGCTGGGAAAAACAACACTGGCAAATGAAGTCTATCGCAAAATCCAAGGGCAATTTGATTGTAAGGCTTTCATATCGGTCTCGCAAAAACTAGATATAAAGAAAATTATGAAGGATGTGATCTCTCAAGTGTCATGCCAAGACGGATCCACAAAAGATACCACTGATTGGGATGAAATGAAGTCCATTTCAGAGCTAAGAGAATTACTGCAAAATAAAAGGTAACTTTGATCTTCATTACTTCTCTTAATAGATGTTCCATGCATAGTTCCTCGTGTTTGAGTCACTTATTGACATTCCACACAAAGGAAACAACTCGGGTGAGGTCAGCTTAAACAACTCTATGCATCCTTACCACCCACGTTAGAGAAGTATCATGTACCTAGCTATAAGATGCTTAAATTATGATATATTTGTCACCATGATATATATTTGTGTCCAAATCCTTCATTAACTCGATTGTTTTGCAGTTAATAAAGTATTCAAACTTCTGAAACTGTTCACTCCCACATTTAAAGAACAACCTCCTAAAGTATGAGTACACTGCATATCTTTGCATATCATCTTCATTTGAAATAGACTCCAGCATTCTAATAGTTTTCCAATACCATAAAGCAAAAGGTGTAAAATATTTTATGGTTGATTGTGACCCGGTAACAAGAAGTGAGTTCTAGTAATTGCTATTGTTTCGTGAAGCTAGCATGCAACTGTATAGGGAAACACTAACAATGAATGTCATACAGTTATTAACTACTCTAGTTAGGTATTATGTGTCTCGTGATGCAAAGGTCGGGCGTATAAATGTTACATTTTCTTAGAGAAGCAGTGTGTGTGTGTGAGTGCTAAAGCATAATGTCTTTTCATAATTGGTTGACATGATTTGCTAATTTTATAGGTATCTCATCATTATTGATGATGTATGGTGTGCACAAACATGGAACACTATCAAGTGTGCTTTCCCAGAAGATAATTGTTCTAGCAGAATTATAGCTACTACACGCATCATTGAGGTGGCAAAGTCATGTTGTCCGGGTGGTCATGACCGTGTGTATGAATTGGAAGCCCTAAGTGATATCCACTCCAGGAGATTGTTTTTCAGAAGATTATTTGCCTCTAAGGAAGATTTCCCTGAAATGTTGAAAGAAGTTTCTAATAAAATCCTAAAGAAATGTGGAGGCCTACCATTGGCAATTATCAGTATATCTGGTTTGCTAGAAAACCGACCAGCCATCAAGGAAGAGTGGGAGAAGGTTAAGAGGTCAATTGGTTCTGCACTGGAGAAAACCAAGAGTCTAGAGGGTATGAGCAACATACTTTCTCTTAGCTACAATGATCTTGCACCTAATCTCAAGACTTGCTTGTTGTATCTAAGTTTGTTTCCCGAAGACCATGTGATTGACAGAAATAAGTTAGTGAGGCGATGGATAGCAGAAGGCTTCATTTCTGAAGAGCGTGGACAGAGCAAGAAAGAGGTCGCTGAGAATTACTTCTATGAGCTTATCAACAAAAGTATGGTCCAACCGGTGGACATTGGATATGATGGCAAGGTCCGTGCCTGCCGAGTCCATGACATGATGCTAGAAATTATAATTTCAAAATCTGCTGAAGATAATTTTACCACTGTGGTAGGTGGAGGTCAAACGAGTTTGCCAAATCATCAAGGTTTTATTCGACGGCTATCAATCCAGTACATTGACAAGGAACTTGCATCTGCACTAGCAAATGTAGATCTCAGCCATGTTCGAACTTTGATAGTAATGTCATCATGTTGCGTCACACACTTGCCCAGTCTTGATCGGTTTGAAGCTTTACGTGTTCTGGATTTTGAAGGTTATAAGGATTTAGAGGACTATGAGATGAAAGACGTGGAAAAATTATTCCAGCTAAAGTACCTAAGCTTTATGGACACAGGTATATCAAAGCTACCATCAGGGATCATGATGCTAGGTAATCTAGAGACCCTAGATCTTAGGAATACATATGTGAAAGAGCTGCCTGCTGGAATTACTCGGTTGACTACACTACGACACCTAACTGTATTTCTGGAGAAGTTACCAAATGGAATTGGGGGCATGAGGAACTTACAGTTGATGCCAAAATTTATTATAACCTCGCAAGAAACAGATGTGTTGGAGGATCTCGGGAACCTGACAAGTTTGGAGGAACTCCATGTGGATCTTTGTGATAAAGTATCTTGCAAGGACAAGATATGTCAAAAAGAGATGTTCCTCTCCTCACTGTGCAAGCTTGGCAGCAGCAAACTCCGTTCTTTGAGAATAGGAGCATACAACAGGGGTTCCGTCGACTTCTTAGATTCTTGGTCCCCTCTGCCATCTTCTCTTCAAAGCTTTTGGGCGCCCAACCGCGATTCGTTCACAAACATTCCAAAGTGGATTACACCTGCACTCACTAACCTTGCCGACCTCTGCATCAGCTTAACTGAACTTACGGAAGATGGGCTGCTTACACTTGGGCAGCTCCCATCCTTACTCTGCCTCCAACTATGGCTATCAGAGAAGTTTGTTGGTACAGCCCAAGCCACTTCTTTCCCAAATTTGAAGGTGCTTAACTTCACAGAAACAGAACGAGCATATGTTTCATTCGTGAAAGGGTCTGCACCCAAGCTTGAGGTAATTAGGAACATGCCATTCAGTGTGTCCGCGGCAAAAGCTGATGGCTTCTATTTAGGCATTCAGCATCTCCCACGTCTCGTAAGAGTTTACATAGGGCTTGATGAGGAAGACGCGACATCTTCAGAATGCAATGCTGCAGTTGCTGCAATCAGGAAAGAAGCAGGTATCAATCCCAAGCATCCTGCAGTTAGTATTTGGGGGGAACCAGATGAGCAAGGAAGATGGTGACCCCGATGAGGATTAAAATGCTCCCAAACTGCAAGAGGTACAAATACGTATTCTGACCATTCACCTTATCTCTTTTAAGCATCGTCCCATTTTACTTTTCTCCGGCAAAATGCATCTCACTCACATCCTGAGCCCGTGTGTTTTTCTCAAATTCACATGTTCTACTGTCTGTTTACCCTTTGCCGATCCAGGATATTTGTTGAGCTGGCTTGCTTGCTTGGGATGTCATACCGAAGGAGGCATCAAGCTAATTAATTAACATTCCTTGCACTTCCAGTCGACAAGCTGAAAGCTGAAGCTGAAACAGAGACACCTCCGAAAAAGGGTGGTCTAGGGTCTCTCTCAACTGTGTTTGATTGCCTCCATTTCTTACTTCGATGATGCTACGTTTTGAGATAATAAAATCGCCCTTTATCGAGACAAGATTCTTACTTCGATGATTCAAATCTAAGGCTGGTGTTGTTAATTCGCTTATACTCCATCCCCAGTAGCTTTATGCATTCGGTGGGACCTAAGATCCATTTGCTTTCAGGGTAATTTGATTTCTGTTTCCCTTTGTTCCGAAATAAGTTTTGTTGAATTACTGTGCTCTGAACAGAGCAGATCCACCATGGAACTCATTCATATATCTGCTACTATATGTTATTGTTCGTCAGTTATGTTCTGAAACAGCTGGGGACAAGAGCACGCTGTGATACTCTTGAGTTTTGAGGTGAAGTATCATGGAACAAAATTTTGATGTGTATGTAGTAAGTAGCTTGTCCTTTATATTATATGATACTGATATATGAAAGGTGATGCTGGGTTTCCCTTATTCCAAATACAAATCTCCCAAATGATATACTACTGTACTGCGATCAGTTGTATTTGTGCTGAAACAGTTCTCCTATGTGCGATCAGTTGTATTTGTGTTGTGCCGATCGACATATTTTTTTCTTCGAAAAGGGGGGTTACCCAAGCCTCTGCATCAGAAAAATGCATACGGCTCATATTATTAAAAACGAAACCAGTAACAAAGTCTCCAGTGTCTCAAAGTACGAAAAGAAAACTGAACGCTCATACGAGCCTAATCAAAAAGCCACAACCGGCAGACAAACAAAATAGGAGCACTACATGCCTATCCTATTACATGACCGTCATCCAAACCGGTTGAAAATAACCCGAGTTACCATCTCCCATCAGGTAGACGCAGTAGCCAAACGCCCCCTGGCCTCCGTCGGAGTGGCCACATACGGATCAATGCTGTGGCCCTGAAGATAACCTGCAAAAAATGAAAGTTCGGAATTGGTGTTTCATTCAGGGTACTCTGTTTCCTCTGCTCTGCTCCTCTGTTTCTTTTAGGGTTCGGTTTTAGGTGTGTGGTAACTTGTTTCAGGGCATGGGCATGGCGCTGTCGCGTATGTGTGTGCGCGTGTCCACACCCCACACACACAGACCAAAGCGAGGTGTTGTGCTGCTGACGCTCTCAACTTCTCTTAAAAAAAACTCGACCCAAGGGGAGAGAAATTCCGAAGGCATTATATTTTAAGGTCGAGGAAAGGCCCCGAACGCCAGCTTACGCAGTACAAGTATACGCAGCGAACACGCTAGCTTGCACAACACGAGTATACGCAGCGAGGTGCCTTTTTTTGTGAGAATCAGGATTTGAACCCTGGTTGGTAGCCCCGCTCTAGGAGGTCTTTTACCACCGTGCACGTTCTCACGCTCGTCAGGGCGAGCTTCTTCTCCGCAGGCTACGAGGCCCGGGGTTCCCGCCCGGCTCCTGCAAACGCTCTCAACTTCTCATATTTGTTTCACAGATATCACTAGACACGCAAACCCCGCTGTATCTTGAGCACGTCTAGGTCTAGCGTGTCCATTCCTCTGGCCTTCACACCAACATCAGGGCACCCTTATTCTTGCAGAAGATAGCAGTAATTCACATACGGGCCTCGAGCTCAAATGCTCCCTTGTGAACAGTAAAATCGAAAAAAATAAACAAATTGAAAAATTCTGATTTTTTTTCTTTTTTTCGAGCATCAGACACAAGCGCTCATATATACGCGCATACACTCATCCCTATGAACGCACACACACACCCTACCCCTATGAGCACCTCCGAGAGACTGAGCCGGCATATCATCTTGAGATTTACGAAGTCACCGTAGGCGCCTCGTCGTCGACGGGAACGTCTCCTCCCACTGAAAGCGCATCGCCGGAAATCCTGAAATAAATCCAGGAATAATGCGAGCACCAGGATTTGAACCCTGGTGTGTTGGGATACCACTGTCCACCTAACCAACTCAACCACAGGTTGATTCGCAAAATTCTGAATTTTTTCTGTAGTAAACTTTAACAAATATATTATGTACTTGCAAAATTTTAGTACGAAATGACATTTGTGGAAGTCGTGACAAAAAGATTGTTCCAAAAATGCTAGTTTTGAAAATATTTTGGAGTGCTGTTTTTTTTTTGTCATGCTTTCCACAGATGTCATTTTACGCTGAAATTTTGTAAGTGTACAAAACATTTGTCAAAGATTACCACAGAGAGGTTTCAGAATTTTTTGAATTCTTTTACTTCTTTTTTACTATTCGTAAGGAAGCATTTGAGCTCGGGAGCACAATAAGACTTTGGCACAGACTGCTCCTTTCTAGACTGGTGGTACTATTCTATTGATTTTTGCAGCAGATATTATTCTTGGAAAAATAACATTTGAGCTGTGAGATATGATGTTGGCTCGACATTCTCGGACACTTTATCCAGTATACTCCCTCCGTTCCAAAATAGATGACCCAACTTGTACTAAAGTTAGTACAAAATTGAGTCATCTATTTTGGAACGAAGGGAGTATGAACACAAGCAATGTCGTGGCATCTGTGTATGCTCACTTCTGGCCTCCCCTGGTCCCTACAAGGCCTTGTACAATGAAAGGTGCTTAGAGAGATGCTTAGAAAAATAAACCGGGTTTTTCTGAAGCACCGGTGCCTATTTCTACAAGGGAGACGCTTAATTAAGCGTCTATCCTGTACAAATAAGCACTAGTGCTTAAGAAAAGCCTGGTTTATTTCTCTAAGCACCTTTCCTAAGCACCTGCCATTGTACAAGGCCTAAAAGGCCTCTGCATCGCCCACCCTCCCCTCTCCAATACCCCTCCCCACGGGAGCTCCCGCTCCTGCCGCCGTTCCTGATTTCTCGCCCGAGTCTCACGCCGCCGCCACTGTCGATGACAAGGTGACTCCAACCCTGATTCTCCTCTCTTTCTTCACATTTCATCACGGTGATATGTTGTGACATTGCCATATTCTTTTATCCGCAGCCAAAGCGTGTTGTCCGCGATGCTCGTGCCCGCTGTTTGTTCCGCTCGACTTCGGGGTCAAGCCATCGTCGACAAAGGACGACATTGATCCCACCGCCATGTCCTGATATCTGCGACATCGCCCCGCATCTACCCTGTCCGCCACACATGTTTCACCGGAGAAAGGCCCCATCGCGCGGTTTCCGCCGACCCATGTACAGGGTGGACGTTCCTGGTTTTTTTGTCTTTCATTTTTTTGTTTTTCTTTTATGTATTCGATTTTTTTTGCTTATTTAAAAATGTTTGGGGTATAAAAACGTTTTGAATTAAAAAACATTCCTTCATTTCAAAATTATTCATAAATTTGTCCCGAATTTCCAAAAAATGCTCTCACCTTACATAAGTTGTTAATGAATTTGAAAGAAATGTTCTTAACTTAAAAAATGTTCCTCCATTACAAAACAAAGTTAATCTATTTGTAAATTTATATGGATTTTGAAGAATGTTCGCGAATTGGAAAAATATTCTCAGATTTAGAAAATGTTCACAAATTAGAGAGAAGTAACAAGTATAAAGAAAGCTCCCGCGAATCTAAAAAAGGTTCCCATGTTTCAAAAAATGTTCGCAAATTTGAAAAACATTTTCAGATTTAGAAAAATGCTCAGGAATTTAAGAAAAGTTACAAGTATCAGAAAAGCGCCCACGAATCTAAAAAGGTTCCCATCTTTCAGAAAATGTACACGAATTTGAAAAAACTTCCCTGATTTTAAAAGAGAGTTATTTATCTAGAAAAGGTTCCTACATTACAAAAAAAAATGTTCTATTTGTAATTTTTCATGGATTTTGAAAAATATTCGAGAATTTTTAAAATATTCCTGATTTCGAAAAATGCTCATGAATTTGAAAAAGTTACATATATCAAAAAAGTGCCCACGAATCTAAATAAGGTTCCTAGATTTCAAAAAAGTTCACAAATCCCTGAATTAAAAAATGGGTCATTTATTTAGAAAATATACCTACGTTACAAAAAAGTTAACCTATTTGTAAATTTTCACGGATTATGAAAAATGTTCCCGAATTTGAAATAAATTCCTAGATTTAGAAATGCTCACGAATTTGAAAAAAGTTACAAGTATCAAAAAAGCATCAGCGATGCTCGTGCCCGCTAACTGTTCCATGTTGGGTGTCAACCTGGTCTCCAAGTAAAAGGAGCAGCCCCATCTCCAAGCAAACCCAAAAGTCAAATAAAGAGGCTTATCGAAGAGATAACACCCTACGTCTTGCTTGTGTTTATTGTTTTAGGGTATATATAGTATAGCGTACACGTGTCTACAACGAGATTATTGTGTAAAATTGTAATGATCTATCGACTAGCCTAGCCTCGGCTTATATAATGTACCAGAGGCCTAGAATAACAGGAGTACTAGTCGACTATGTAGGTGGATTAGGAGTCCTTGTCTTCAATGGCAAGGCTTCTGAAATCTTTCTTGTATGTGTCATGGGCCTTCTTGATGTGGCCCCTTCATGAACCAAGATAGGGTTTCCCCAACTCCCCTCACACCCTTCCATTCACATCAACCACCAGGACAGAAGGCATCTCGTCCAGTGCGCCGGCGAGAGTAGCACTGGCGGAGCTACATGTACTTCTACAGGGGCCATGGCCCCCCCAACCATGACAAAATGTCTGAAGAAATAATAATTAAAAGTGCCTAATTAGAAAAAG